GGCCCCTCCCCCGGTGGGAGGGCCTCTGCCAGCAAAGGTTTGCGATAGGGGAGCGCCCCCCAACGGTTTCTAGGGAGGGGAGTGCAACCCCTAACCGCCGAAGGGCAAGGGCCTGGACCAAAAGAACTGCGGACGATCCGCTCTAAGTCTGGCGCCACCCCCCGAAAAAGCGGCTTTTTGGCTCTTCATAGTGACAGGTGCACACGCGGACTCTCCAGCCTCTCAGCTCACCACCTCGCCTTCTCTGTCGCTCTCCTGGCCCAGGCCCATCAGCAGCAAGTCTGAGCCGTCCCAAACCGCACTTATCTTGGGTGATGAAGCTCACTCTGGCTCATACCACGGCTCTGCAGCCTCACACACGCCCGTTTCAGCCACAGACACCGCCGGCACGCACTCCCACTTCACACACGCTCAAGCACAACCCCATCAAAGCACATCCCTGCTCAGAATGGGCAAGGGCTACCACCTGGTGACCCTGGTAGCCTCTGGCTCGCCACTGCACTCGGCTCCTCTGCAGCGGTCTCGGCTCTCGCCACGGCAGCACGCCGACGGCAAGCTTTGACGCCCGTCTGGTGGACCTGCTGTGGCCACAGCCGCCCCTGACATGCATCTCGCACCATGACTCGACACAGGGCCCGCTCAGCTTGGTCGTGGCGGCGTGTGTGAAGGATGCGCGGCCGAGCCGCTGGCTGGCGCCGCTTGAGCGTCCGAGATGGCCGCAGCAGAGGCCACGCGTCGCGCCGCCGGCCAAGCCCAGCCTCTCCGCGGTCCAGTCGGTCAAGCTGGCGGGGCCGGCGAAGATTTCGGGGACGTGACCGCAACTCGGGCAGCGACAGCGCGCTTGAGCTTAGCTTGTCCGACACCCCTCAAAATCGGGGTCTTTTCAATAGGGCCCACCTTGGCCTTTAAGTTTTTGGTTGCGGCACAGCGGGCGTGAACGCTGCGCGATGGCGAGTAGCGACGATAGCAGCGAGGCGGCGACGTTCGATGAGCAGATGGCGTCCATCGAGTTTGCCGAGTTACTCGCCAATCTGGAACGCATGCCGGGTGTCTCTCAGACGTCAGAGCTCGAAGCCAGTGAGCAGTGAAACCGGCGAATAAGCCAACCATTTTGGCGTCAGCGTGAAACTGAAGCTGCCCGAGCGGTCGCGACTGCAAAAGCGATTCGCCGTCACCAAGCCTGACGGTGAACGGACGACCCTCGTCGCCGCCGCGCGCGAGGCAATCAAGTGATAACCAATGGACAAAAAAAGCGCGCGGGGAGCGGCGCCGGCAACTCGACACGACACACGAGGGGCTGGAGCGGCAGTGGTCGTTCGGGGCGGAGGGCGTGGTCGGTCGGGGAGCGGGACGCGACCAACATGGCGACCAATCAGCCCGCCGCGCGGGTATTCGTGTTCTTTTACACCCATCAACCATCATTTCATCCAAAATTGACAGACACGTCTCACGTGTACTATCTTCTCGCTAGAGGAGCATCTCCTTGCACGCCTCGACGTCGGATATGACGCCCACTGCCCCCCTTCCCGTCGCTCCCTCGTCACGCTGCTGCTGGCCTCGCTCCGCACCGCGAGGCGTCTCGGCTTTGCTTTCTGGAGTGGCCACGAGGGGTGTGCCCTGCGGCGAAAGATCTGCGCCGAATGCCACCATCGGACCCATCGCAGCGCCAGTCCGCGCCATGTCGTGATAGCCCCGCTGCTCTTCCTCACTCAGCAGCAGCCAGCGCTCGCCGACCGTCTTGACCAATTCGCGCACCGTGATGCTCGGCTTTCCCCGCTTGACCGCCGCGCGCTGCGCAAAGGCGAACAGCGCAAATGCCGAGAGCGGCGAAGCCAGCCCTTTGTCCACGGGTGAGGGGACCTGTTGCCGTTCTTTGTCTTTTGAGGCGGAAGCCAGGAAAGTGCCCTTCCGCGGGGCCCCCTTGCCGCTGGGCACGGGTTTTTGTTTGGCACTCGCGCTGCCGTTCGGCTGTTTTTGTTTGGGATCGTTGGGAGCCATTTTTCAGGGGTCCTTGGGGGCACAGAGGGTTTGATTTTGATTTTGGGCCGCCTTTATGGCCTTTTTTGGGTGCTTTTGGCCTCAGAGGGTCCCTGGCTGATAGTCCGTCTGGGCGGGGCACAGAGGGCTTTGCCCTCAGAGGGTGGCCCCCCCTCACGGCAGAGGGGAGAGTTTTCCCCCCCCAGAAATCCCCACCCCCCCCCCCCCCCCCCTGTGGTTGTTGGGACGAGAGAGACTTGAAATGCCTGAAAACCCCTCTGAGGAGCGGCCTCGCGGGGCTTGCCTTGGCGTCTCAGAGGGTCCCCGTAGCCTCAGAGGAGGCTGCGCCGAGAGAGGCTGGCTTGGCGGCACAGGCCTTCAGAGGGTCGGCCCAGGCACCCTCTGAGCCGCTCGTGGATGGCCTCTCTTGGCACAGAGGGTACCCTCTGAGACGAGCAGATCTGGGCCCGCTTGCCTCACCCCCCGCCCCCCCCCTCTGACACCACCCCCTAGTGTCCCGAGAGGGTTGCACCGTCGAATTCTTTCGCTGAGTTAAATTCTTTTGTCGCAAACACTGTGAGCAGGCCAACCTGTGAAAGTATGAGACCGATCCGTCGCAGTTCTCTTGCTCCAAGCGCATGCGCTTCGGCGGTTAGTGTGCACTAACCTCCGAGAAACCCTTCGGGTCGTTCCTCATCGCAAACCCAGAGTCGTAATAGTATGTACGTAAGAGAGTTGTGTTCGAATAAGAGCAACATACGACGAAAAGAAAAATGTAGGCGATTCTCTTCGGCCAGAGCTCTCTTCGGCCAGAGCTCAAGCTTGGCCTCCGAGGGTTGGGCCATAAGGCCGATGGCCTCCCGCAACAACCTCGTCGCGTACGACCCCGCCGTGGCCCGCGAGGCTGCGCGGGCCGAGCTCCGCTCGAAGGTCGTGCCAAAGGTGTTGGATTGCAACAAGCCTGGTGCTGCGCCCATCACACTGAGCGCCGAGGCTCAGGAGCGGCAGCGCGCAGCGATGGCGGCCGAGCTGGACAAGATCAAGCGTCGCATGGACGAGCGGCGGCGGCGCGACCCGACCTTCAAGGAGACCGCCGTCGACTTCGACAGGTCTAAGATGCTGCCCTTTTCCAAGTTCCGCGACTACTATGC